TAACGACGATATTACAAAATAATCAGTTATAATGGCATGAGTTACTCTTGAATAATAACCAGCAACAATAAGAAGAAAAATGGTGTTGTTATGAAGATGCATGATTCCAACTACAACTATTATGACTGCTATTCATTTTAATAATGATAATGGCGTTAGTAGCAAGGTCGTCATGTTAATAGCAACGGTAATAATAATAATAAAATGATGATGATGATAATAATAATAACAGCAACAACGACAACAACCTGACAACGATTTATCCTCTGACGAGATGTAATAAAAATGAGGATAATCTTAATAAAGCGATAATAACGATTGGTACAATGACACTGTTATGTTGTAAGAACCTGTAACTGAATGGTGTATAATAATAATAATAATAATAAGAAGAAGAAGAAGAAGAAGAAGAAGAAGAAGATAAATTTAGTTATTGCAAAAACCAATAACAGCACTGAGATGTTACAAAATATACATCATCTCCATTAGAAAGACAATAAAATTGTTATTATTATTATTATTATTATTATTATTATTATTATTATTATTATTATTATTTTTATTTTCTTTGATTTCTGGCGTTTACACATTTCTTTCCGGGTCCCGCCCAGGGACCTAAGGTTAGAAATGGCGTCATGACTTATTTTCCACTGACAAAAAAAAAAAAAAAAAAAAAAATTAAATTACATAGATAAAGCCCTTCGTAAGGTGTGGGCTGTACTTGTCAGAACAATTTTTGTAACTCCTTGAGGCATGGACTTCCAGGAATCCCTTCAATTAGTCTACTGCAATCTTTTCCAACCAGTCCTAGGGCTCCAACTACAACAGGGATTGTTGATGTTCCCATATGCCACATTATATTATTATTATTATTATTATTATTATTATTATTATTATTATTATTATTTCCTTTGATTTCTGTTGTATACACATTTCCTTCCGTATCCCAACCAGAGACCTCAGGTGAGAAATGGCTTCATGACATTTTTCACAGATTATTTTTTAACAAAAATTATTATTATTATTATTATTATTATTATTATTATTATTATTATTATTATTATTATTATCGTGAGTCAGAGATAGAGCAATATGCTAACAAGGTGATGTTCGGGTGCAAGCCCAATGTACCCATCACAACACCCAGTTCGATAATGGTATATTATTATTAATATTATTAGTAGTACACTTAGAGAAGAACATGATTTGAGATAAGAATAAGAAGTGGCACAGTGTTTAACAATATTTCGAATGTATATCTTTTTCTTCAAGTTATGTTTAAGAATTGTATCCAAAGATAAAAGATATCAAAATATTCGGAGAAAAATATTATTATTATTATTATTATTATTATTATTATTATTATTATTATTAATGTTGTTGTTGTTGTTGTTTCTAATAATGATAATAATTGTTGTACTGGGAATCATTCCAAAGACCCCAAATTGAAAAATGAATGAATTTAAAGATTGACGTGGGGAGTACCCAGGTAACGGCGGTGTGGGGATTGGCTATAGTGAAGAGAAAAGATTTTAAGTGATTTGTTGTCACATGATACTGAACGACAGCTACCAGATGCTTATGCATAAATAATAATAATAATAATAATAATAATGATAATAATAATAATAATAATAATAATAATAAGAAGAAGAAGAAGAAGAAGAAGAAGAAGAAGAAAAGAAAAAGAAGAAATAATGTTTTTAATATATGAAGAGAATTGTTTTAATATTTTTGTCTCTATAACCAGTAAAGCAGGTATTTCAGATATTCTTTACACAAAGGCAATCATTTTTGATAATAATAATAATAATAATAATAATAATAATAATAATAGTTGTATTTCTGATGGTGATAATGCGATTGCTGAAGTAACCCTGTAGTGTAGTGATAGTGGCTGTGATCTAAAAAGTACAGTAGAAAGCAGCAAGAGCGGCCTTGATCTGATTATCATCATTATCATCATCGCCATCAGCGTACCACCACAACAGCTATCACGACTACCATCACCGTATTATTCATTTATTTATTTGTTGTCCCTTAAAAGCTGCATTAAATGCTTGTTCACAGTAACAATTGCTGCAACAGTAAAATAACGCGAGAACCAACACCAACACAAATAGAACGTCAGATGCGGCATCGCAACAAGTAGTTAGTAGTTCTTTTTTTTTTGTCTTTTTTTTTTGTTGTTGTTGTTTCTGGTTATTAAGCGTGCCAATAGCATTAACCTAACAACAATCAAAAAACTTGGACTTTTATCATTTTCCTTCATAGCTTTAAATAATTAATACAAAAAAATGTGATTACCAAATCTACTTCATTTATAATTGTAATGGTTGTAGCACTTAGCAGTGGTTAACGTTTCTCTCTTTATTCGCTGCTATAGCGTTTCTCTAATTGTGTGTGTGTGTGTGTGTGCGTGTGTGTGTGTGTGTGTGTGTTTCTTGGGCTTTTTGTTGTTTTCAGTAGATGGCAGGCAGAATGGTCGGCTGCGTTGGATTCAATGAATGAACGATCGGCTAAATGAGTGAGTGAGAGAAAAAGAAAAATATCTGAATGAATCTTTTACACACACGTTCGATCCTAGCGTTGAAAAGAGAGAAGCCGATGGGAAAAAGAGAGAAGGGGGAGAAAAAAAAAAGAGAAGACTATGGAGAGAAAAGAGAGAGAGAGAGAGAGAGAGAGGGAGGGATAAGTGGGGTGGGATAAGAAAACCAGAAGGAGTTCGATTTATATCTTTACTACTCTTGAGTCTTGCTGGTACGACAGAGAAATAAAGGAGAAATAAAAGAGAATGATGTTGCTGATGGCGTAGGAAATGACTCAAAATGAAGAAGAAGAAAAAGAAGAAGAAGAAGATCTAAGGAAAGATCGAGACGAACCATCATCAATAATAACATAGTAGGAGCCAAGTGTTGAATGTGAAAAATTGGTTCGATCAGCGAAGAAGACGAGGAATTTTAATGGAAATATTTTAGGTCTTCCCCATCCTCTCGTGGCTAATGTTGTTGGACGCCCACCCGCCCGCTCTCGTTTTTATCGCATTCTTCTCGAGTCGATAAAGAATGGAGGGAAACCTCCATAGGAAAATCAGCTGGTAAATTCAATTCGTTTTTACGTGATGAGATTTTTTGGAAATCACGTGCGCGCGTGTAAGTGCATTTCGGATAAGAGCTTTTGATTTGTAAGTATGTTCACGTGAAAAACACTGCAACTGTACCTAATAACACGAATAGTGTACATCTATACATACATCTACATATAATGATGTTATTTAAGGGTAACCTAACATAAGTGATTATATATATATATATATATATATATATATATATATAAATATATATATGCATATATAAAATATATATATATATATATATATATATAGATAGATGAATAATATTAGTGGTAAATATACATACATATGCAAAATGTATAAATACCCATACATGTATATTTTTTGAATAAAAATTCCAAGAGGAAGAATCCAGGTAGAACTCAATGTCCAGGACAGAGTAAGGATATAATAAAAAAGGCTTAAACACTAATATTCCATGGTCATGGTGTTTTTTTCTGTTTTCCTTTTGAATTTTTGTAGGTCTGATGAATTGGATCGTATTTACGATTCCATAATGGATATATAATATATATATATATATATATATATATATATATATATATATATATATATATATACGATTAATGTATATTTTAGTAGCAACCTTTCTTTGAATTATCTTTCGTTAAATATAAAGAACAAGGCAAATTTTATTAATATTTCATTTATTGTTTTCATTCGCACTTAATTTTTTTACTTTTGTAGTGAGGAAGTATATATATATATATATATATATATATATATAGAGAGAGAGAGAGAGAGAGAGACAGAGAGACAGAGAGAGACAGAGAGAAGTGGGTGGGAGAGATAGACAGCCAGACAGAGAGGAATAAATAAATAAAAAAACTATATAGAGAAATATTATTTAAATTTTTCTCTATTTATAAGGGGAATACTTCATTGAAGTGTAAAACTCAATCACCATGCAGTGTCAATTCTTATGTCTACACTGTTTATATATATAAACAGTATATCTCCAATACTGTGCACCGCTCTTAAATACACCAAATAGGTAACAATATATAATAAGATTGACTCGAATATTCAGGCGGGTTGATGGAAAATAAATGAATATGCAATTTAATAAATGAACGGAACGTCTACTCAAATAAAGTATCCACTAAAAATAACCTTTAACCAATAAAAAAATCAGTCTAATTAATAAATAAAAAAATCCACACCTATCTTAATATAATATATATATATATATATATATATATATATATATATATATATATATATATATACAAGTATATGATTGGTGTATACGGAATAAATTCTAATAACCAACAATTACTATTCTTAAAAGAATGCTCAATACAGAGTAGAGCAAATATAATTTATTCGAAAATTATAATATAAATATGTTATAAAATCACTACAAAAATAGCCATTTTGTTTCAACACTTCTGGTGTCTTATCAAGTGATATATATATATATATATATGTGTGTGTGTGTGTGTGTGTGTGCGTGCGTGCGTGTGTGTATACGTATATATGTCCTCTGATAGATTTACATTATGTGTGCGTGCGTTTTAATCATGGGGGAACGTTTGCTGCATTTTTTTTTATTGTTATTAAAAATGTTTATTTTAATACCTTTGCGTTTTAAACAGACGAAAGTTCCACCCGGGGTATCCTTATTCTAACGATACCTTTTATTAAATATTCTAATAATCATCACGGAGGCCCGTCTATCTCAAACTCAAATGTAAATAAAAAAAAATTTAAAACCCTTTTGCGCCGATCTAATATAGGCATCCATCCATGAGAAAATCAAATGGAAAAAAGGAGATGGGAAAGATAGTATAGCGTCAATAAAGTGACTATAGAAAAAATGCATGGATTTGATTTCTACCCAGTCGCAGTCACTGATGGCTTTCACCAGTAATAAATATGCAAATACAGCATTCACACGATAGCATAGCATAGCATAGCATAGATAGATAGATAGATAGATAGATAGATAATGAACAGACCGAGATAGATAGATAGATAGATAGATAGATAGATAGATAGAATGAATGAATAGATGAATAATTAACAGACCGAGATAGATAGATAGATAGATAGATAGATAGATAGATAGATAGATAGATAATTAATAGATGAGATAGATAATTAACAGACCGAGATAGATAGATAGATAGATAGATAGATAGATAGATAGATAGATAATGAACAGACCGAGATAGATAGATAGATAGATAGATAGATAGATAGATAGATAGATAGATAGATAGATAGATAGATAATGAACAGACCGAGATAGATAGATAGATAGATAGATGATAGATAGATAGATAGATAGATAGATATGAATAGACCGAGATAGATAGATAGATAGATGAATAGACCGAGATAGATAGATAGATAGATAGATAGATAGATAGATAGATAATGAACAGAGCGAGATAGATAAATTGATCGTATGGTATATATGGTTTGTCATTCAGTTATATAAATATGCAACAGGCGTGCTTCTGTGGACTAATCAAGAATTGGCTTTCTCTGTGGTGGTTGCAGTCAGTGTTTGAATCTTAATAAACATGTCATTAATATTTTCTAATTCTGATTAAAAATCATTGCCTACATCCGTGATATTAGCACCATACAATCTTTTATAAAACATACCTTGTGAAAAAGTCTGCTTTTTAATAGATATACAAGAAACGTGAATTATACTCAGAATTTTTTTGGTGCACCACAATAAAACGTACAATATTACTTCTTTATCCGCAGATCCGTTTTCTCTGGTTTCAGTTACCCGCGGTCAGCTGTAGAAATCAGCAATTCCCTAATTTCTTTTTAACAATTCTCTGAAAGGCCCCCAAAGTTTTAGGCTGGCAATTCGGATATGCCAAAGAGAAGAAATGTTTTTTCTTCAGAGAAAATCTGAACGTTGTCGACTTAAAAAAAAAAAAAATCCTATACCGATTTTACTAAGATCTACACAAGAACGAATCTTTTGCATGCCAGATATTTCTTATTAAATTACATTGTTATAGTCAGTGGCAATTCTACGGGGTGGGGACAGAACGGGCCAACGACCACGCCCCCTCATTTTGGCTGGTCCCTTGGTTGATTCCGCACTTTCCTAAGTTTTGTAGAGGAAAAAAAATCAGAGCACTGTCCTGCGAGTATTGACGTTAGTATTAACCCTTTGATTTTGTTTTGAAGTTAACCCCTCTCTTGTGGTCCAACAAGCTTGAGAGTGGAAAAGAGGGCAAGAATAGATTAGAACTCCACTACTATGAATGAAAATTTATTCCGTTTAATTTAGTGAAGTAACATACTTATACTAAAACTCGTTCCTAAGTTGTGTATACGATAGTGGGGTAGTATGAAAATAAAGACGCTGCTTGAATTTGCCCCCCTCCTCTGCAGAAAAATCTCGGCCCACAAGTCCCCCCCACATTCAGAGTTCCAGAATCGCCACTGATTATAGTTGTTCTTGTTTATTAGAAAATATTGTTGTTAATCTCTAATTATATCAAACCTATGAATTCAAATTTATCATAGGTATTTATGTATAGGTAAAAAGTAGCAATTTGGTGATTTCAGGGAATTTAGTCACCCACTCGGAGTCTTGCAATATATCCCGTACGATTACTGATAGAATAGATTACTGCATACAATTTCTACTAATTCACTTGTGCTATGTAACTACAAAAATCACGTGAGAATACAATCCATTTTGCATTTTAGATAAATTCTTCTGCTTCCTTTTTTCTTTTGTCAGAAACATATGTTCGTGATAAACTAATGATTAATAAACAACGTAGAAAGAGTTATTGATTGAGTCGTTTTCTACGGTTTTTGCAGATTATTTAAATCAGAAAATATTTTTAGATTATAAGTATATTTTTTAAGTCATTTTTTTTTTAGATAATAATGATTCAGTGATAAAAAAAAAAGTCTTACTAATTAAACCACAGCTGCAGAGAGAAAAGTCAGATTCATACCTTTCCCAAGGATATTTGCGTGTGATATAACGAACCCAACTGGAATTGGAACTCAGCTCTCCGATTAACAATTCTGAACCATTATAACACCACCCGTATATCCAAGCTTACAGCAACTGGTATTGCTAAACTTACAGCCGCCAAGATACTGACCAGGCTCGACAGTGTTTCAAGCTGATATGGCTTTCGAATTTGCTAAACTGAACTGACTCAAATACAAGGTTACATTACGATATAGAGATTGCAGGCGATTGAAATTCTGCCTTGACAACCAAGATTAGAAATCTGAATTTTTAACCAGGCCCGAACGTCGACGATTAACTGTCCACCTCATCCAGGAAACATCCACATTTGTTCCTTATTCTACGCGCGCCAGTTGAATTCTACTTCCGCCATTGTTTTGTTTGCAACTCTCTCTCTCTCTCTCTCTCTCGCAATGTCTCTGTGTCTCTTTCTCTTTCTCGCTCTCATTTCATTTCTTTTTCTGTTCCTATTTACACGCATTTTGTTGCCTGGGGCATTGAAATATTGATTTGGGAAAGTCGATGGTGTTGGGAATTTTTCAGCACTTCTTCGTATTTACACACATGTGTATTATTAAATGTTGTATATGGTGAATATACGTATTTGAATAGACGCCATATTTTTGACAGCAAAATTAACATCTACCGGCATGGGCAATTGAAAGTCTTATCAAAAAATGAGTAAGGAAGCAGTTGATCTTTCAGCAAGACACTGAGAGTTAGCATTCTGTAAAGATAATAATAGCGAGACAAGCTTGCTAGACATTACATCACATTGTCTTAATTATTTTCTAAGCGTAGCCTAGATATGGCACAAGGCCGAAAGTGTAGAGTAACCAGTGAGGATCGAACTTACTATCCAGTCGTAATTAATCTAGCGAGACAAGATGGCTAACCATTACACCATGTCGAAGTGCCGGCACATTCCCCTGTAATGAATGGGTCTGTCATGTCTCCAAAACTAAATTTCATAAAAAAAAAAAAATGTCTACATTTTCAACACCCAATATTCTACTGTTGAAAAAATGAAACAGGCCATATTACATGCATGGAGGAAATTCCGGCAATCTAAACCCTCTAAATTAATAAAAATCAATGACAAATCACCCGATTTAGGTATTTGAGGACATAAGGTACAAGCATAAATTATTAACTTTTGCTAAATAAAGTTTTATAAATAAAACCAATTGACGCCTGTACTGTCTTTTGCATCAGGTCTTTTTCACGTTTTTATTTTTTATTTTTTTTTAATTCTGCTAATATAAAGAAAAACATTAAGATTAACAGCTATTTGAAATATTTTACAGGTAAAAGTAATGATTTTATTTTGCAAGAAATATTTATAAACAAAAGTATAAATGTCATTAGATTTTCATAATTTAAAAATTTAAATACGTATATATATATATTATTTTTTAAATTAAGAATGTTCATATATATATATATATATATATATATATATATATATATGTATGATTATTTATATATATATGTATGATTATTTATATATATATACTTTTACATATATATTTTAATATATATTTACATATATATATATATATATGATTATTTATATATATATATATACTTTTACATATATATTTTAATATATATTTACATATATATATATATATATATATATATATGTGCATGATTATTTATATATATACTTTTACATATATATTTTAATATATATTTACACACACATATATATATATATATATATATATATATGAGCATTTTTAAAGAGGTAATGAATTTATATTTGATCCGATATTTTTCAGTTGTCTGAATGTGTGTGTGTATGTGTTTAGTAGGCATTATTTATGCTTGAAATTTTCCCGTATATTTTTAAATAGAATTAAACTGTTTTAGACATTATTATTATATATATATATATATATATATATATATATATATATATATATATATATATAATTAATAATGTCTAAAACAGTTTAATTTATAAACATAGACATATGCATACACATACGCATACGCACACACATCTATCTATCTATCTATCTATCTATCTATGATACTTCTGACGAGTGGACTGAGTGTGTACTGGAGAGTCCGTCTACAAATCTCTAGATTCAGAATACTGAAATGACAATCTTTATATCTGTATTAATTTTATCTGCCCCCCCTCTCTCTCTCTATCTATCTCTATATATATAATATTATAAATTAATTGATTTAAAATATGTTTTTTTCGCTACACAGTTCTAACCATGTTTCAAAACATTTTTGAAACATATAAATTAATTGATTTAAAATATGTTTTTTTTCGCTACACAGTTCTAACCATGTTTCAAAACATTTTTGAAACATGGTTAGAACTGTGTAGCGAAAAACCATATTTTAAATCAATTAATTTATAATATTAGTGCTCTGTAAATTTACATTGAGCACTAATTTGTAAAAATAAAAATATCTTTAAGAACACCAGATTATATATCTTACTGTTCTTTTTTTTTTTATATATATATATATATATATATATATATATATATATATATATATATATATATATATGGAATGGAATATTAACTAGACTTGCATCTATTGGATATTTTTTTAATGGGTACCCCTGGTAAATTCCTTCGTTTGTGCCACCTGTTTTCTATTATGCAAATTGACAAATGACAAATCTCATCTCTTGTGTCTAATCAATTTGACAAAACATGACCGTATATTTTTTTACCCCGCATCGTTGAGACAAGCAAGGGCTATAACCTATGGCAGGTGGGTAGGGTTAAACACAGTGAAATAATAAGAGACTGTGGATGGGGGTACAAAATTTGCTTATTTACCTCCACACGAGGGCAGATTTGATACAAGATTTTTAATGTAAGCCACAGTCCACGTTTACAAGGAAATACCTGCAAAGATCGTCTCGTCACGTATATGGTTTAGAAAAGAAAAAAAAAGAAAAAAAAAACAAACAAAAAGAATACGAGAAAATGGAGAGACTTAGAAAGTCAAAGGGAGACTTTTGTGAAGGAAACCATGAAAACAATAATTTGGAAAGACGTGAAAAAAAGAGAAAAAGAGAAAATGAGAGGAGTAAACAATGTGCAATAGGGAGAGAGTGAGAGAGAGAGAGAGAGAGAGAGAGAGATAACGAAGAGACTAGAAGAGGCAAAGAGAGAGTGTTTTAGGAGCAGGGAAAAAGATGTGAAGGAAAAAAACGTGCGTGGTGTTTTTTTATTGATCGATAAAGACAGAATAAAAAGAAAGGGAATGATTGATAAAAATGGCGAAAACTGATCTGGAAAAAGCTTTTTAATATGATGTAAGAGGCCTTCAGAAAACAATATTGGGTTTAACGAAAACTAAAATAGGGCTCTAAGAAAATTATGTAAGAGTATAAAAAAATTTAACAAAGCAAAAGAAGTTCAAGAGATTAGAGAGAGTAAGAAAGAAAAGCGAGAAAAAGGATAGGAAGATTGTGGGTTGTA